GAGGCGGAGCTTGCAGTGAGCCGAGATTGCACCACTGCACTCTAGCCTGGGCAACAGAGCGAGACTCCATCTCAAAAATAAATAAATAAAATAAAAATAAAAGTAACCACAAAGCTGAGCTCAAAGAGTGATCAGACCTGCATAGACAAGGAAGTGCTACGAGCTGAGAGGAAGGAGATGGTGGCGTAGTGTGGTCAAAAAAGGGTTTTGAGGCGATGGGGGACCCTAACGCCTCAAGGGATGCTAACAGATAACCTTGACTGGGTGCTTTTCATGTGCCCAGCACTATTCTGAATTCTTTTCAGATGTTAGAGTGCTTCAGTGTCAGTCACATGACAGACAAATACTCTGCAGTGTAAGCTGTTGGTATTACTCCATTTATTCTTCTCAACTTCAACAGAGCTGAGCTAGGTATCCCCATTTTATAGATCAGGAGACTGAGGTCTAGAGAGACTGTATAACTTGTTCATGGTCACCCAGCCTGGATCCACATTTAAGTAGTCTGACCTCAGAGCCCACTTCCAACTAGAGTGCCCTGTGCTACATACTTGCTGATCAAAGCCTATGGAGAATAGTCAGGCTGTGATGTGGGTGTCAAGCCTGGCCCAGATCTTAATATCCTAGTACCGTGGTCCTTAACCTGCTTGGGAATCAGATACTCTCTAAGAAACTCATAAAAGCTCCAGCCCTTCTCAAGTTATCCACACCACCTTTCACCCAGTAAAATAGAAGAACATGACAGAAATCAAAGGGCAGTGGCCCTTGCCCAGCCAAAGTCCTTGTAGAGTGGTCTTTGGCTTTATTTACAACTGTAGACATAGGTCAGTACAACTCAGTGCCAGCTGCCACAGCCCTGCAACAGGGGCCAGCAATGTGTTCTCTCAAGAAATACTCTAAAGAGGATGCAAAAGGCAGCAGGGGTATTTCAGAACCCTGGGGCTGCTCACTTCCCCCAGCCTGCCAAAGCCCTTACTCCCCTGCCCTCCCAGCACCAGATGCCCACCCAAGCCTGGGCACCAGTGCCCTGCCCTTCCCTGGAGGCACTGCCAAATACAACTTCTGCAGCTCCATTTGCTGCAGCCAATGATGGAGCCACAGTCTAGGTGGAGGTGACAGTGACCGAACCACCACAGATCTCATTTTGTCCCTCACAGCCCATAGGCAGCTGGAAGTTTCCACATTGGTACCAGCGTGGGGAGACAAAGGGACAGACAGCCTAGTAAAATGAACAAACTAGTTATACAGTAGGCAGCTGTCCCTGGCTTTAGAGAACCCAAACTGCAACTTCTCTCTCAGCAGCATCATGAATCAACAAGGGCCCCAAAAGGAAACCCAAATGCTGGATTTTCTCAAAATGCTTGCCCACCTTTTCCAGCCTGAAATACTTCCAAGAAAGTAAGCTTTTAGAGGCCAATTCCCCTCCCCTGCTAGTGCTGAGAGGTATGAGTGATTCCTGAGCAGCCAGAGTTGGTTGCCACTCTTAACCTGCATTTGTGAGAACCCACTCCCGGCCAGCTGCCTAATGGGGATGGGGGGGAATCCTGAAATCATGGCCTCTGAGAACTCAGATGAAAATTAGTTTTATTGTCACAAGTTGGTTAATAAGCTCCGGCAGAAAAAAATTCTTACCCACAGGCCATGCCAATGTCATAAGACCCATTTCTGATGCCACCTGCAACAAAAGCATTTCATAAACATCCTTTGCCAGAGTCCACCTGTTCTGGAAGCAGTGGAGCCTCTTCCCCACCTGGTCTCTAGATGGGACTCAGCCCCAGCCTCAGAAATGGAAGACCCAGGAATGTTCAGAAAAGGCTTTGGGCAGTGGTAGGGGGCGCTCCTGCACTCTTTCTGTGGTTAGAGTCCTCTCAGAGATCGTTATTACTTGCCCAGCAGACAGCGACTTCGCTGACCCAAACCCACAGGTCCAGGATCAAGGTGCCCACCCAGTCATAACTTACCTGCTATGCTGGCCACTGCCTGCAGCCCCGACGAACACTGTCTATTGACAGTGGACAAAGGCACAGTCTCCGGGATGTCACTGAAACAGAAGGTGAGAGAGTAGAATCAGCCCCCAATTCCATGCCAGGCTCTCATGGAAAGCAGTCCTATGCTTCTAACTGCCTCCCCTCAAGGGATGTAAAGGGCAGGGGAACAAACCCAGCAGCCCTGCCCCCATGCCAGGCCAGATCCATGGAATGGGGGTGGGCAGCTACTGGACAGATCCCCTCTCTGCAGGCACTTGCTCCCCAGGGCCACCAAGCACATTCCCTTCCATTCCTGTGACTATCTTCAATCAATGACCAAGCACAGCCCAAAGGCAAGGGAAGCCTGTTTGGGCCACAGGGATCCTTCTCTCTCTCCCTTTGAAGATTCAAAAATGAAAACTATGTATCTCTGTTTCCCCCAAAGAACAGAGAAAAGGCACTGCTGCTAGGACAGAGCACCAGAGCCAAAGAAATGCCTAAAGTCTGAGGACAGGGACCCTCAACCTTACCAGTAATCATATAGCTAACCCTGCATGTTCCCATGGACTCTTGAAAGCCTGATCCCACCTAGACGAAGCACTCTGATGGGAATCATGTGTTCTAACATCCGTTGCTCTGGTAGGTTCCCCAAGACTCTCACACAGGTCTTAGCCCTGGAAGCTAGTAGGGCTTCCCCTCTTGATGTAACCTGCCTTGGCCAACAGTAAAAAGCCCTAGGGAAATTTCCAGACCTCCTCAGACCCACAGACTCAGAACCTGAGGGAGTGGAAGCATCCTGGTGATTCTGGTGTACGGCCAGATTTGGGAGTCTCTGAACTAGTGCCCAGGCCAGGTTCTGCAGAGACTGTCTCAGGTGGATAGCTTCCTGTGCAGCCTGTTTGATCCCTCCAGGGTCCCTTAACTCCCTAGCAGGTAGTTACCATTCCTTCACTCAATCCACCAAGTGTTCACTAAATACCTACTTACCACAAGGCATCACCTGAGGGATGCTGAGATGCTTATAACACTGTGCCCTGGAGGATGCCCAACCAACACACAGAAAATGAATCATCTAGCAGAGACTGAAATAATAGGGCAAGAAGGCAAACCACATCAGAAGGAAGTGCATGGCTAGCTACTACTGGAGAGGAAGGGGCTCTCATTTTCAGCCTGAGAGCCTGGATAAGTCATGCCAAAATGGTGAGACTGTGTTTGGGCAGGGTTTGTCTTTCTGTCTAGGGCAGAAAGAGGAGATAGGGCTAGCACTTCAAGGAGACAGAATGGCGATATCAGGGAAGACAGTAGGCCGACAGCCGGCTAAACGAAGAAAAGTCAAGGTGAGTAAGCAGCTAGGAGATGAGGCTGGAAGGTAAGTCTGGAGCCAGATTGTAGGGGTCCTTGAACTACAGGCTGGGCAATCTAAACCTCTCCCAGTTCCTAGAGGGTTTTTGTTTTCCTGTTCCTTCACTAGCTAATGTTCCTATTTATTCTTCTCCATAGATCTAGAAGTACAAAGCTAAGCAGTTCTTAAATCTACACATGAAAATAATTTAAGCACTCTTTCCCCTGCAGGCGCTTAAAGGAAAGTTTACCAGGTCTCCTCCTGAGTGTCCCCCTTCCCCATGGTTCTGCCCTATCCCAAAGTCTCTGCTAGTGGGATATGACTGGAGTTAGCTCAACTAGTAAAGAGGCTGAAAGTCACTTTTCAGCATGCTTACTTGGTTACTCACCTGACAAATGAGGGCAGAATCCACACTTACAAAAGGCAAGTGACAACCTGGCTTTGGCTAAAAATCAAGCCACAGAGAACTTCTGCTCCAGTCCCAAAGGCCTTGTGTATCCTGGCTCAGCACTTTAAAGTAGGGGAGAGGTTGAGGTCACAAGAGCAGGGAGTCAAGGACTCTGGTTGCCTCATTCTGGTGTCCAACCTTATCCTCCCCAACCTGCAGACTGAGTTCCCTGGGGCGTGGGCCCAGTAAAGCATCAAAATGGCCAACCCATGGCTAGAACTAGAAAAGTTTACCTCAGAAACTGGGCGATTCGGGCCATGATTGCCCCGGCCCCAGGCTGCAGCACATTTCCTGTGGACAATAAACTTTCATTCAGCGCCAGGTGGTGGTATTCTGTGCACTAAGGTATAGCTGTGAAAACCAGAGATGAGGCATTCCAGATCTTTCTTTGGGACACTAGCCCTTGGCAGGCTCACTTGCAGCTCTGGAACATCAGGGTTTGGGGCAGGGAGAGCCAGCCAAACAACAGCTTGTCCTGGTCATCCACCAGCTCCTGTCGCTAAGCGTCCCATGCTCACTTGCCCACGCACCCAGCTTTTCCAAATCAGCACAGATGGGCAGGTTGCCTGCCCTTAAAAGTGAAATAGGAGTTTCTGAAGATGCACATCTCCCCAGGTATCCTCCTCTGAGCCCTGTTGTCACCCCAGAGAGGTGGAACAGTGATTGCTGACCTAGGGGTGGCATCCGCTGGATAAGACTCTTGCCATATCATGTTGAGTATTTCAAGGTGAGGGGTGGGACAGACTGAAGGTTGTGGGGAAAAGAAAGATCAGATTTTTATTGTGTCTATGTAGAAAAGGAAGACATAAGAAACTCCATGTTGATCTGTACTAAGAAACATTGTTTCTGCTTTGAGAAGCTGTTAATCTGTAACTTTAGCCCCAACCCTGTGCTCACAGAAACACATGCTGTACTGAATCAATGTTTAAGGGATTTAGGACTGTGCAGGATGTGTCTTGTTAACAATGTGTTTGCAGACAGTATGCTTGGTAAAAGTCATAGCCATTCTCCATTCTCTATTAACCAGGGACACGATGCACTGTGGAAAGCCGCAGGGACCTCTGCCCAAGAAAGTCTGGGTATTGTCTAAGATTTCCCCCCACTGAGACAGCCTGAGATACCGCCTCGTGGCCATATCCCGTGGGAAGGAAAAGACCTTACCATTCCCCAGCCTGACACCCCTAAAGGGTCTGTGCTGAGGAAGATTAGTAAAAGAGGAAGGCCTCTGTTTCCCGCACGTCCCTAGGAAGGGAATGTCTGTAAAGCCGACTATTGGTTCTATTCTGAAATAGGAGAAAACCACCTTGTGGATGGAGGCGAAATATGCTGGCAGCAATACTGCTGTTACTCTTTGCTACGCTGAGATATTTGGGTAAAGAGAAACATAAATCTAGCCTACTATGCACATCCAGGCATAGTACCTTCCCTTGAACTTATTTATGATGCAGATTCCTTTACTCACATGTTTTCCTGCTGACCTTCTCCCCACCACCCTGTTCACCCTGTTCTCCTGCCTAAGAGGTCCTGCCCCTCCACACCTGTGGGTATTTCTCCCAAGGCGGAGACGACTGAGAAAATAAGACACAGAGACAAAGTATAGAGGAAGAAAAGTGGGCCCAGGGGACCGATGCTCAGCAATTGAGGACCTGCACTGGCACCGGTCTCTGAGTTCCCTCAGTATTTATTGATCACTCTCTCTACTATCTTGACGAGGGGGATGTGGCAGGACTACAGGGTAATGGTGGGGAGAGGGTCAGCAGGAAAACATATGAGCAAAGGACTCTGTGTCATAAATAAGTTTAAGGAAAGGTGCTGTGCCTGGATATGCACATTGGCCAGATTTATGTTTGACTTTACACAAACATCTCAGTGCAGTAAAGAGCAGTATTGCCGCCAGCATGTCTCACCTCCAGCCATAAGGCGGTTTTCTCCAAACTCAGTAAACAGAATGTATGGTTGGGTTTTACACAGAGACATTCCATTCCCAGGGACAAGCAGGAGACAGATGCTTTCCTATTATCTCAACTGCAAAGAGGCCTTCCTCTTTTACTAATCCTCCTCAGCACAGACCCTTTATGGGTGTTGGGCTGGGGGACTGTAAGGTCTTTCCCTTCCCACGAGGCCATATCTCAGACTATCTCAGGTGGGGGAAACCTGGACAATATCCAGTCTTTCTTGGGCAGAGGTCCCTGTGGCCTTCGGCAGTGCATTGTGTACCTGGTTAACAGAGAATGGAGAATGGCGATGACTTTTATACTGCCTGCAAACACATTGTTAACAAGGCACATCCTGCACAGCCCTAAATCCATTAAACCTTAAGTCAATACAGCACGTTTCTGTGAGGACAGGGCTGGGCTACAGATTAACAGCATCTCAAAGCAGAATTTTTCTTAGTACAGATCAAAATGGAGTTTCTTATGTCTTCTTTTTCTACACAGACACAGTAACAGTCTGATCTCTCTTCCTTTCCCCCACACTGCCGGACTCCCCTTGCCGAGATAGTGAAAATAGTAATCAATAAATACCGAGAGAACTCGGAGACCAGTGCTGGTGCAGGTCCTCGCATGCCTACTGTCCCGGCCTCCTGGGCCCACTGTTATTTCTCTATACTTTGTCTATGTGTCTTATTTCTTTTCTCAGTCTCTCGTCCCATCTGACGAGAAATACCCACAGGTGTGGAGGGGCAGGCCCCCTTCAAAGGTCAAGGCCATGGAAGTTCCCCCAGTGAAAACTCGGGGTGGGGAGGTGAGGAGAGCTCTGGACGAACGGAAAAACGGGGAGGGCCCAGCACAGGGCCTAGGTGGTGCGCTCACCGACACAGATGTCCCCCAGCTCTTCCGGCCTCAGATTCACGTCCTTGAGAACCGCGGTCATGACGGCCGAGAGAAGCTCGTCGGGGGTGGTGTCCTGCAGCAGGAAGAGGAGCCGCGGTGACCCCCAGTGCCCCCTGCTCACCCCAGGGAGACAAAGCGACCACAGCTGGATGCGGAGCTGCCTCCGGCGTCCAGGGTAACCAAACATACGAACCGGACCCCAGCCCGCGCTGGCGTCTTCCCACACTCG